AAAACCCTATCCCAGACTTTATATGTTACTTTCTCAACACATATTTTATTAATTAGAACTAATGGGCTAAATAATTAAATATAATTTCCCTCTTGATTATGGATGACTTCAATTGGATTCTTTCATTTGAAACTCTCCCTCAGTTGTATGATCAAAATCTAATTCAGGTTGCACTTGGATGGGTGGATTTGGGTTGAGAAATTAGATTTAAAATCTCACATTTAAAATTAATAAATTCTATATTTTTTGGTTGGGTAATACAAAAACAATTAAATTATAATACTAAAATTCTTTGTTTGGATCTTAAATAAACTTCCAAATTTTAAATTCTATGATTAAATTAAAAGGCAACTCAAATGATGTCAGTAGTTCGATCTTAGTCAAAGTCGGCTGTCTAGTCTAGATCAGGGTTGGTGGCCTGGTCTTGATCGGCATAAGCTATTTGATCCCAAACAATGCCTATGAATTACCATGGGACGGGTTGTAGTTATCCAAGGGTTGTGGATTGGACCTAGATGACATCACTAATCATTCCCTATTAACAGTGACGTTTAGCACTAGACGATTAAGGTAGATGGATCCAAGATGGTAATCACAAATCAATCCAAATGGTGACAACGATGGTGATGGCGGATCCATACCAGTTGGATGTGATAGACCAGCATCAGACAGTGGTAGTGGATCAACACTAGATGATGATACAGGACAAACATCGAATGACGATGACAGAAAATTGGTACTTAGTAGACGGGGGTGGTAGAGTAAAAATACTTGGAAAAAAATAAAAAAAAATTGTGTGACTCGATAATTGATTCTAGATCTTCTTTTTGTAGTATTTTTGGATCTGCAACTTCAACCATCTTTTTCTTTTTCTTTATTCTTGTGTCTTTAATCCATAACTTTTAGGGGATCCATGCTTATAATCAATATATTATTTTTTTTAGTGACTACATAATATATCGTGGAGGAATTTTTAAAAATGAGTTAGGTTGCCAATTATATACATGGAGAATTTTTTTAAAATAATTTGAGTTAACTGTTGAGTGTACATATGAGAAATTTTTTTTAATTTAATTTTTTTAACTTCATATGAGAGATGATATTTTT